GCTCATATTCAAACGTGCCTCCTACGCACCTCTACAAAAACGCCACCTTCTAGAAGCTCTAGCTGTGGCCGTCATTGCACATTAATGTAGCAGCCGTACGTGCCTCGGGAGCTGTAACGGTTCAACTGGCTTTTCTCGAAAACATGCGCAAAACATCAAATCATTGGCACATCTATCGAAAACAATTATTACAAACGAGCGTCAACAATTTAGCCACATCTTCACAAGCCTCGGCAAGTTAGATCCACTCACTGCCTTGGCCCTTGATCACAATTCTGCCACATCTTCACAAACCTCGGCAGGTTCGATCCATCACCACCTCAGCCTTTGATCACAATTTTGCCACTTTTTCACAAGCCTCGATAGATTCGATCCACTCACCGTCTCGGCCCTTTATCACAATTCAGCCACATCTTCACAAGTTTTAGCAGGTTCGATTTACTCATCGCCTCGGCTCCTTCATCACACCTTCACCAAATCAACCCAATAGTACACTTTTAACTCCAACCATAACATAAATGACTATACTTGGATTTAGGGGGACTATTATTCATGGTTGAAAAATTCATTCATTCAATTTTTACCCAATGAAAATGAGCTCACTTTACTCAAAGTCCACGCATTATATAAATGACTATACTTGGACTTGGGGGACTATTGTTACGTGTTGATACACTTGACCAACCCACTGGAGCCCATGGGCCACCCATGCTGAACCACATGGCATTTTGGCCGAGGCCCCTAAGCCAATGAAGAGTGACCAACACCAGCAAACAGCTTCTACAACGTGGCCTAGATTTTATATGACGAAGTGTAGTAGTTGAAGTGGTGCATTTAGCCGAGGCTCTTCATATTGAGGCCCATTATACTGAAGCCGAGGCTCAGGACAATTGGCATCACTTCTTCCCAGAGATCTGGTCTTACACAAGAATCCTCTTTGAATGATTGATGGGACACCCATCATAGAATGCAAGTGTCTTGTCTTTTCAAAGTAGCGATGGCTAGGGATGTCAACAAGCTAAGTCGAGTCGGCTCGCGAGCCAAAATTTTTGGCTCGAGCTCGGCTTGAGGTTTTTTAAGGTGAGCTTTGTTTGGAAAATTAAGGCTCAACCCGAGCTTTCGGCTTGGGCTTTAGCGACCCGAGCTAAGCCGAGCTCGATTTTTGGATTTTTTTTAATATATACCTCTTGCTGCCTGTTTGGCAGCTAATTTAGCCGCCAAATAGGTAGCTAATCTGTTGCCAACCAGCAGCAAATTTGCTGCCATTGGTAGCTTGATATAGCTGTCTGTTGGCAGCAAGTTTGCTGCCTTAACCGACAGTTATGAAGCTGGCGGTTAAGGTAGTTTAGCTGCCAAACAGGCAGCAAATTTTTTCTCTCTTTTTCCTTTTTTTTATAATAATATGGGCCAGTCAAGCTCGAGCCAACTCTAAAAAATGAGGCTCGATGCCTTGAGCCGGCCCGAGCTTTTTTTGAATCGAGCAACGAGCGACCCGAGCCGACAAGCTTGATTGCCATCCTTAGCGACGACACTGCCAATTAATAAATGTATAGCAGGCTAGGTGGTCAAACTTATTACCTACAATTTTAACATGTAAACTAACAAGATGAAGTCATGTGTACTCCCAACCAAGGGCCACGATCTAAATTGTAACACTATAAATACTCCTCCCTGTACCCCATACAAAGGCTAATGCAAGATTCAATACAAGAACCAATATTCTCTCTTTTACACTCTCTCATTCTCTTACAAAGATAATTCAAGATTACATACACATTCTACAAAATCGCAATTGGTAATTATTGTACAGTTGTTATAAAGTCTTGCCGGATTTCGAACATTGTTATCCCACGCCTTTGAGCCGCTCCCAGCCCTTAATCAACCCGTTCCAGACCGTTCACATGTCATAGTGTGTTGGACTAGGCTTGAGTATGCGCGAGTGGGTTCGGTATCCATTGACAACATATTTTAGGATCAATAGTTTTATTTTCTTTTCGCAACGACAATGAATCGAACCTTGACTTCCAAAAACATTTTCCACTTCCTTGACCTTTTGGGAAACTTGAGAACTTCACTAATATATTGAGAGTCAAACATATAATTTAGATTTAGTAAAATAGTTTTCTTTTTAGTTCTACGATCTAAGAATGATCCACCGATTCAACCATCGAGTCACCCATTGAACTATTGACCTAGTGACCCGATGATTTTTTCGGGTCAACTATCAGTTGGGTTTAATAACTATGATTTTGACCATTTGTGCTTTCTCTATGAGAGATTTCTCTCCAAAAATTGAATACGAAGAGGTCTTGCAACCAGAATTGATGGATTCTTGTTATACACAAGTTCAAGCATAATGGAGTTTGTCAAAGCAACAACGCACACAATAGTATTTTGTAACAAAGCCATTGATGTTAATCAGTGTGACCCTGTTAACATGACAAGTAGTATAGAAGACAAGAAATATAAAATCTAAGAACAATATCTTATTAGAATTTCAAATGTTCCAATATGAAATGAGTACTTCCCTTTTTCCACATTCTTAGAGGGAATTGATGCTTGTACTCGAATGACAATCCCTCACATGTGAGGAGCCCACAATTTTTTTATTGAGCGCGAGCCCCCCCCAACATGTGAGGGGCTGTACATGTACAGTCCGAGCTGGACTATTCGGACTGTATATGTAACTCAGTCCTTTCGTAGATGTAGTCTAATCATTTGATTTTAATAAAAATAAGAATTTAAGTAAATTTCTATAAAAATTAATAAAATGTATGATTGAAAAGTTGTTAATTCACAAAATATGTAGTTCAAATTAATTATTGAGATTAATTTAATTTTTAATCAAAATTTTAGTTGAATCAAAAGAGACATATACAAACAATTTACTTAACAAACACTATTGACTAGTCACGTGAAGCAGCTGACATGGCACGTGAGATGGAAGTCGAACTACTTTCAATTATCCAACTTTGGGTTGGTATAGCCTTCTCCAAAACATAAACCTGTAATTGCACCACACAAACGTGGAAGGGGTAGGTGGCAAGCCAGTGTGGGCTCCATTCTTCACCCAACTCTTGCTTGATTCACGAGGCGTCCCTCTTTTACACCAACTGCAGCCAGTCGGATACTCATATATATATATATATATATATATATATATACACACACTTTCCCACACTTGAAAATTTGCCTTCAATTCCACTCTTATCAGACCCACCGATAACGGTGCATAATGGCGTCGTCCATCTCCACCAAACCTTTTCTCGGAGCTTCATCCTCCGACGGATCCTCTTTTGGATCCCTCCAATCGTCCTCCAGACTCTGCGCTCCCTGTCTTCAGCTCCCTGCTCGCCGATCCCAACCCAAACGCCTTGGTTAGTGATTTATTTGTGTTTTCTTACATCCAAATTTGGATTTTAATTAATGGGTTTTCTTATTGCGATTTTCTAGTGATTTGTTCAAGTGTTCTTATAGCCAATTTTGAATTTTAGTGAATTTTTTGGCTCGTTGAGATTTGCTAGTGATTTATTTATGCTTACCTACAGCCAAGTTTGAATATTAATTAATGGGGTTTGCTTATTGGGATTTGTTAGATATTTAATTCTGCTTTCTGATTTATCTCGATTCAATTTGCTTGTCTGTGGAAATGGCCAAATTGTTGTTTATAGCTTTGGTTGTTATAATGGTATTAGAAACAAACGATTATTCTCTTGTGTTTCAAATACAGTAGACTTTTGGCTAGTGCATATTTATAGCCAAATTCAGGAAGAAAAAAGTTGTGATGGGTCTGGGTATGTAAGTTGTAATTGAGCTGAGCAAATGTGAGCCGAGTTGAACTTTAGGGTGCTGAAGCTTGGCTTGATTGATCTAGTGAGCCTTACAATAGCTCGATCTTAGGTTGTTATATGTGATCAAACTCTCAACTGATTTCTTATTTAGTGGATGTGAAATCGGCTGACTGTTAAAAGAGGATGCAATATATTGTTTTTCAAGCTACAAGCTTAAAAATGCGTTTGATATTTTCTAACAACCTGTGCTTGAATGAGACTCAGGGAAGCCAAGCTTGAGTGTCTCGGCCCATTTATTTAGCCCGTTATTAATGTCCTGTTAAAATGGGAAACCAATAAAAGCATGTCGAAATATTTAAATAGGATGCAAGCAAGGAGAGACTTATGAAAGATGTTCATCGGTAAAGCAAATGAACAGAAATGCTGCATTTTTTTTATTTTTTTATTTTTATTTTTTGTCTTTTTTGAGAAAAAGATCTATACTAGGGATAAAGTTTTGTAAAGCTTCAGCTTTGACTGAGAAAGGAAACTATT